CCTTAGGTACAAAAGTTACTTGGGCGATTGGACCAGTCACCAGGAGATCGTGAGTTCTAGTCCTGCCTTAGGTACAAAAGTTACTTGGGCCATCCAGGTCATGGTTATCCCAAAGATGCTTTTTTTTTTTTCAAGAGGCAACTGGATTTTCTGGTTTTTCTGTGAAGACGTTTCACTTCTCATCCAAGAAGCTTCTTCAGCTCTGACTGGATGGTAGGGAAGGATTTATATCCCTTGCAGACAGCTGGTCATTTGCATCCTTTTAGAGGGTCGTTGAAGCACTTGGATATTTATCTGTGTCCTCAGGGTCAGGAACTGTCAAAAAGGATGCAAATGACTAGATGTCTGCAAGGAGTATAAATCCTTCCCTACCATCCAGTCAGAGCTGAAGAAGCTTCCTGGACGAGAAGTGAAACAAAAGCCAGAAAGTCCAGTTGCCTCTGGAAAAAACACCTTTGGGATACTCAAGCACAAAGGTCTCTTCCATAGTTCCTAAGGGCAAGAGATTGCTTGGCACAAGCCAGCTTCCGTTTCATCTTCCAAGCATCCTGTCTTAAATGTCAGGATTAGCTCCCAGCCCATTGACCTACGACAGCTTTTTCAACTCTGCGACTCTTTATTTTCCTGGGAATTGAAATCCACGCGTCTTAAAAAGTTGCTGATGCTAACAAACACTCTGCGTGGTGCAAGCCAGCTCCAAGCCAATTTCATGCAATTTGAAGAAAAACCACTAATTGGCACTCTACAGTCTCAGCAAGGTGTGCAGAGTACTGTCCAATCTCTCGCTGTTGTGGTTGTCTGTTCCCCCTGCCCCTCTATTACAAGCATACCTGTACATCTACATTTTTAAAAGAAATTTGACGGTTTGTAAGATCCTTGCACTAAACAAGTCTATCCGCGTCTTTTTTCCAACAGCGTTCGCTCACTAGCCCTAAAGTAGTTTTAATTAAATAGGCTTGTTTATTTGTTTATTTTTTAGACATAATGCTATTGCACGATTTCGTAGACTGCAGCATAGTGTAAATATAACTTAAGGGCCAGTGGTGGGATTCAAAAAAAATTACTAGCGGTTCTGTGGCCGTGGCATGGCTTGGTGGGCGTGGTAGGGGAAGGATACTGCAATATCTCCATTCCTGGGGGAAGATTACTGTAAAATCCCCATTCCCTCCCTACTCCACTAACCTGCTTTCCAGCTCCGTTCTCCTGTGCAGGGCAACCAAAGAAGACCCAGCCAATCAGCTGGGACTTGATGGGAGGCAGAGAATAGATGGGGTTGGCCAGGCCAGTCAGAGGTGGGATTTGCCGGTTCTCCAAACTACTCACAATTTCCGCTACCGGTTCTCCAGAACTGGTCAGAACCTGCTGAATACCACCTTTGTTGTAGACACTGGGAATGCAAACCATTGGTGCGTCTCATTCTGATTTATTCTTTTTTAAAATTTATTTTTCCCATTCTTCAACTGCTCCTCTCCCTCAAAAAGGGACTTTATTTGTGATACTCCTTTTATCGTGGTGGTCTGGAACCGAACCCGTAAATCTCCAGAGTGTCAACTCATAAAACATTCCTATGCCTATTTTCAAGTTGCCATAAACAAAGGAAGCTTGAGAGAAACCTGAACGGGCATTACGGCAGTTTAAAACCAGAAGTATACATTCCAGCCTTATGTTACAAAGATTGTAGCTGGGCTACCGGATCTTCTGCCCATGAAAATCCTTTATTGGAGAATGTGATTGATGACACACCCAGAGGGGAGGGGGAAAACAGGGCCATAGGTGGCTGTAAATTACTTATGCCAGAGTTGGCTTTATTTAAGTTAATGCTGACATGTTGCTCCTAATAAATCTTTTGGATTTTTTTTGAAGCTTGGTGTTTTGACCCAGGCTTCGTCCAAATTAAGGAAACACAGAGTGTAAAATCAAACCTATTTTAATGCAACGCTGGGAATTTCTTGCATTCCCAGCCATAACTCATTAGACACAATTCTCTCAGATAAGCTCGCGCCTTTCAGGGTCGTAGAAGGCTGCCAAGAAACAGAAGTCCAATTACTAGAATATAAACAGACAGACGTTCCAGCAAAGACAAACAGAGTTTGCAGGGCTTCAGTGAGGAATCAGAATCTAATGAACTTTGCTTCCTGCAAAGAGCACGTCACCAAGGGCTGACTTTTATCCCCGATGGGAGGGGCAATCACCTTCCAACCTTGCTCCCGAGTCGCCCCTGCTGCTTCAGCTGCTCTCTCCTTCTAGTAGCTCTGCGCAGACGTGCACTGGAGACAGGCTCCCCGGGGAGCCTCTGCTTCGCCGCTGGCAGACTCTGAAGGTAGCACCCCACTCCCAGATGGTCCTGGCCCCATCCCTGCATCGGATGCAGGACCCTCATCCAAGTCCTCGCCAGACTCCCTGACTGGTTCCCTTTCGTCCTCACTGTCCGATTCCGCCAGCTGCCGGCGAACCACAACACTTGGCTCGAGGCTCATTATTTAATTAGGGCGATCCCTGGAACCCTGGCACTGAGTTACGGTCGTGTTTCTGCTTCTCCTAGTTTGCCTCAAGAGTTTTGCAAGTCTCGGGGCGGGGGGTGGTGGTGGTAGTGTGCCTTCTCCCACAAACCTCCCTTCCAATGACCTTCGTATTCTGCCAGGTGTTGTTGGAAATTCCGGTTAGACAAGTTCCTTCTTCGTTTCCCAACGTTGTGATAGCGAGTGCCATTCATTAAAGAGAGCTGCAGAGGGAGAGCCATTACTATGAACCTGGATGCAATGCTGAGAATTGTTTTCGGAATCGAAAACTCCCCCCCCCCAATCCGAGCAAAAAAGCAACGGTCTTAGGGGCCCCTCGAGAACCAGCCATTTATTTCTTCTTGCACAATATTTTGATCCATTACAAAAGCAGTTAACTTTAAGTTAGGGACTCTGGAGTATTTCAAGAGGGAGCTTGAAATGGAAGGGACCTTGGAGTTGGCAGGGACCCTGGTGGTCTAGTCCAACCCCCTGCTGAAGGACTTCACACCACTTCAGACAAATGCTTATCCAATCTCTTCTTAAAAACTTCCAGTATTGTTGGAGCATTCACAACTTCTGGTGGCAAGCTGTTCCACTGATCAATTGTTCTCACCGTCAGGAAATTTCTCCTTAAATTCTACGTTGCTTCTCTCCTTGGTGAGTTTCCATCCGTTGTTTTATACTGCAAATACAGGCATTTGTTTACCGACTGAAGTTACAATACCACTGAAAAAAAGTGATTTACTCCCACTTAACAACTGTCGCAAAGTCACATGACCAAAATTAAGCAGCTTGGCAACTGGCATGTTATTTCTGACGGTGCCATCCTGGTGCCACGTGATTGCCCCTTTGCAGCCTTCCCAGCTAGCTTTCAACAAGCAAAATCAAGGATTTACCTGTTCTGGTTTTTATTATTATTATAAATAAAAACGTATTTTATTTACAGGCTAAAGGTCACATCTTTATTGTTCATGAAACCTGGAGAAAGGCGATTGGAATGCAGGATTATGAGCCTCAGTGGTGCAGTGGTTAGAGTGCAGAACTGCAAGCTATTCCTACTGCAATTTGGCAGTTCGAATCCCACCAGGCTCAAGGTTGACTCTTAGCCTTCCATCCTTCCGAGGTGGGTAAAATGAGGACCCAGATTGTTGGGGGGAAAATGCTGACTCTGTAAACCGCTTTGAATAAGATGAATAAAAGATTGAGAAGCATGACATTACAGTCTCTGTAATGATATTTGATTTTTTTGTATATATAGTCCCCGCCTAAAATTCCATTTAATAGATTACTGGAATCTATCTGTCTATCTATCTATCTATCTATCTATCTATCTATCTATCTATCTATCT